TAGAATACTTCAGCCAGCCATTCACATGAATCAGAGAAGGAAAGCACATCATTCATTCAAAATAAAGGCAAGAAATCAATCAATCAATCCCCCCCTTTGTAAGCTTTGATCCGATGTCTCTTCATCTTGTCGTCGTCATCGTGCATGTCGTGGAAGCACGACACGCAAAACAGACAGGAATCACCCTCGTGCTGACAAGAGACGCAACGGATCGTCGCGTCTTTGTTACAAATTGTGCAGAACGGCAATTCTTCGCCGCCACTATCGTATTTCATCTCCTCTTGCGTGTCCCGCATTCGGGTCACCTTTTCCAATTCGGCCTCTGCCACGTACTAAGCGAAAAAGACAGTAATCGAGAATATCATAAGGTAAAAGTACAGGGCTTCGTACACACCCTACCCCTTCATGCACTATTCATTCAAGATCCTCAATCATACGCCAAAATGCTATCAAATTGTTTACACACCCTGGCAGCCACAGCCTCTACATCCTCGTCCAAGATCAGGGAATCAATCGCACCACTATCACTCGTCCGACAACTCAAAGAATCGCCGTCGACGTTCTTGCCCACATCATCACGTCCAAGCTGTTGCAATCATTTGGCAATATCCTCCACATGGTCCTTGGCTTTCTGCTGGCAAGAAGCATCAATGTTGACCTCTTCCGTCACGCGTTTGATCAAATCCTTGGCGGTTTCTGGTAACACGGGCGCAGGCCGTCGTTTGTTGGACAGGGGTATGTCCTAAATTCAACCCCAGCGTAGACTATGTTACCAGATTGTCCAGACAGCCCGACATTTCAAAAAAACAGACAGATACGTTATGCTTTTGTGGTCGCAATCACTTGGGGTTGCAGAGCGCAATCTCTGCAAACGCTTGGCAATCACGTCATCCGTTACTCAACTCCTCGTCGTCGTCCTTCCCTCCTGCAACTTGGCAAGTCTGCAAACGCAGAGACACAAAATCCCGATTTCAAGAAAACAGACACAGACAGACGGCTCAAGAATAAAAAGTCAAGAGAATCAGATTTCGCTGTTCTCCTTCAACTAGAATGAATGACCTGTCGACGATTTCGGCATCCTCCTTGGAGAGGCCGCGCTTCAACCGGGAATAGCGGTTGTCGCAGTAGACGACGACCGCGGTGGCGGTGCATTTGGATCCGCGAGTGCACGCAGTCGCTTCGTCAGCGCTGCCGGCGCCTCAACAGCGTTGTTCGGCACCTGCGTCTTGAGCGCTTCCTTCTCGTAGCAGCCGAGGCAGATGTCGTCAAAGCCGATGACTCCCTTGGGCTTCTTGTAGCAATCCCTGCACACTGGCCGGCCGCAATCCACGCATGCTTTCTGCCAACGGGAAAAAAAAGAGTTTCGAATCACTCTGGCCCCGACACATCACCCGACCAACTCACCGGACTCAAAAAGAAGCCAAACTTGTTGAAGCACACGTTGCACGCGGCACTGTTCATGCTGAAAAACCTAAGTGAATTCCCCACCCCCAAAATCAAGCAGTATGTACAGTAGGTCATCAGCAGAGAGAGAGAGAGAGACAGAGGGATATCAATAATGAGAACAACTGTTG